GATTACTGCCTCACATCACTGTGCAACAGGCAACAAATATTTTCATATTTTGAAATTACTCCATTAAATGTGCTTTGATGATATTTGGTGTTTTCAATAGCCTTATAATAACAATCTAGAGATTAGCATCCCTAATAAGCTTTAAGATCCCTAATAAGCCAAGTCAGTATTAAATCACTTGACTTCAGTTTCTTACTTTTTATACTAACGTCTCATATGAATTCATTGCAGGATTCTATATTAGTATCAAGGATTATGGGTCACCAGGCTCACTCTAGCCTGGATACAAATCTGTTGTGTTAAGTCATATTCCTTGAAAACACAACCTCCACCTCTAGTAAATATGTAACAGATGGACTATAACTTGTGTATTTACACTACACTCACCCAATTGGTTCTTCTGGGGGACAAAAATGATTCTCCCAGGGTCTTTGCCACAGGATGCACAATGTGAGAAAATAAGCTCAACTAGTTTATTCTATAATCAGAACTTTAGTGAGTATCTTTAGGACACAAGTTCATTTGTTTTTTCTTAAAGAGTGTCTGTTCTAGTTCCAGTAATACACCTGTAGTTGAATGAGTTGGATTCACTACGTATTGCAGCAATGGAGGATGTACATCTTGGAGAACCATGGGGTGTCTCAGTAAGAGAGTCTTAGAAAGACTTCAGGATTTGGGCTTTGTTGAGTGACATGGGGGAGGGTCCAAGGAATCATTCTGGTGTGGGTACTGTCAGAAAGTAGAGACAATTCTATGATTGGCTATATTAATAAATATTGTCTACAGAGAAGAATTAACAACCTGCAATATGCAGATGACACAACTTGCTTGCTGAAAGTGAAGATGACTTGAAGCACTTGTTGATGAAGATCGAAGACTACAGGCTTCAGTATGGATTACACCTCAACATAAAGAAAACAATCCTCACAAATGAACCAATAAACAATATCACCACCCATAGAGAAAAATTTAAAGTTGTCAGGGATTTCATTTTACTTGGATGTACAATCAATACCCATGGAAGGAGCAGTCAAGACATTAAATGATGTATTGCCCTGGGTATATCTGCTGCAAAAGACCTCTTTAAAATGTTAAAGAGAAAAGATGTCTCTTTGAAGACTAAGTGAGTCTGACCCAACCCATGGTATTTTCAGTAATCTCATATGTATGTGAAGGCTGGACAATGAATAAGGAAGTCTGAAAAAGAATTGATGCCTTTGAATTGTGGTGTTGGTGAAGAATTCTGAAAATACCATGGACTGACAGAGAATGAAAAAATCTGTCTTAGAAGAAGTACAGCAGGAATGCTCCTTAGAAGTGAGAATGGTCAGACTTTGTCTCATGTACTTTGGTCATGTTGTCAGAAGGGACTAGTCCCTGGAGAAAGATATCATGCTTGGTAAAGTTGAGGGTCAGCAAAAAAGAGGAAGACCCTTAACAGGATGGATTGACAGTGGCTGCAACAATGGGCTCAAGCATAGCAAGGATTGTTGAGGATGGTGCAGAACCAGGCAGTGTTTTATTCTGTTGTACATGGGGTCACTGTGATTTGGGACTGACTCGACAGCATCTAACAACAACAACATACAGAAGGCAGACTAGGGTTAGGTTAAAATAGTAATTGGTGAAGAAGCAGCAATCTTTCATTTAGTGAGGGAGGGGAATATGTGATATTTTATGGCTTGGATAAGGTTCTTGTTTGGCCTGTGTTCATTCAAAATATGGGGGTGGATCTGTTCTTTGTCATGATCATTGTGGTCACAATGTGGTTGTGCCTGATGCTTATGTTCTGTGAACTTGTTTTTACTCAATGGGAGAACTCCTAGCTGTGAAAGCCAGGCCAGCTCTTAGAAACACAAAGTACCATGCTAGCTCCTAGATGTCAGGGGATGCTTTTTTCCTCAAACTTGAACACAAAGATACTTTTGCAGAAAGAAATTTATTTATTATTGAATACGAGCTCTGGTCGCGTAGTGCCTAAGGCACTTGACTGCTTAGCAGAAGGCTGGCAGTTCAAACCCACCAGCCACTCCATGGAAGGAAGATGGGGCAATCTACTCCCATAGTGATAATGCCTCGGAAACCCAAGGAGGGGTCACTATGAGTCGGGTCTGACTCAATGGCACATAACAACAACAATAACTCTTTAGTATCCAAAGAACGTAAATCATAGATAGATAGTAATATAGATGAAATATTCATGGAAATTTTTTTCCTTTAATACTCAGTGAAACAGTTTCTTTAGCATCCAGTTAATTCAGAAAAATAAATATTGACCACAGTACACATATAGGATTGATATTCTGGTAGTAGTTCAGTGGTGAAGAGAAAATGGAGGCCACTATAATTTTGCACTGGAATCCTGGACTAAAAGAAAGGATTGGGACCTATGTGGAATGAATGAATTGAACAGAATTTCTGGCATACATTAAAATGGGCTCAAACATACCAATGATCAGGAAGCTAGCGCAGGAACAGGCAACATTTTGTTATGTTACACATAATACCAAAAAAGGAAAAAAAAAAACAACAAAAAAGAGCAAGCCTAGTGCCATCTCTCATAGTGACACTATAGGACACTGAAGAATTGCCTTATCCAGTTTCCAAGGCTGTAATTTTTTATTGAAACAGATTGCCTTATCTTTCTCCCACAGAGCAGGCCATGT